CATCATAATTCCTAAATAAAAAAATACTAGTACAAACTAATATATACACACATATGTACATAATAATACATAAAATTATTAGTTATAATTCTTCAATTAAAAATATACATACTAATGCATACATATTATATGAGTGATAATGATCGAGATAGTGTGATAGCATAAATTAATACCCATTTTGGCCGTTTATTCATAGTGATAAATGCGTATTTGGCTCGGTAAGCAACGCACAATAATATTCATTATTATTGTTGTTGTTGTTGTTAATACTAGTATATCATTATCATACACTCCGTACACTATGTTTTTATACTCTCAATAGTCCAAGACACCTTTTGTGACTTAATTTGAAGTATATTCTACGAGCTCTATGTACAAGAAAAAGTGACATAGAGTGCAGAGTTATACGCAAGAATCGATACCTTATTGGATAAAAGTACTAATATGAGAAACCTTTTTTTTTTTTAAAAAGTGAAGACATATTTTGCTTTTTAGTTTGCACTTTGCACACTTTTCTTTACATTTCACATACAAGTCTTGTTATTTTCAAAAAATTTACAAGGGTATCATACTTGGCGGGTCCACCCGACCTGGTTCCGAGACCCGTTGGGCGCGAGTTTGGGTCCAAAATTTCAAACCCACTGGGTAAACGGGTCATCTCTGGGTCCATCATTAACTTAGCGGGTCCGGGTGTGGAACACTACGTTCCGATCCGGACCCGACCCATTGATAGGCATAATCCGGACCATCAAAGATGGTCACAATTGAAAAACTCAATAACGTCGTTGTCCCTACCTGATATGTGTTCGATCGAAAAAGGTAAATAAAGGAGAGGTGCAAGATAAGAATCCTCCCTGGTGATGGCAGTGTCGTCTCGATTCTTCCCTGGTACTCGTGTGACACCGCACCCGGATATACTTGGATTTGAAATTTGATATGTATTTGAATTTCCTAGCGAATAAATTCGTGTAACGGATTGATATATTTAATTAATGCGTGATTAATTAAATTATCAACGGGCCCATAATAATGAGGATGAACTACCAAATAATTAGTTGGGTCATCGTGATAATTATAGAAGTACAATAAAGTGCCAACTAAAGTTGATAAAAGTATTTGGACAACCCGAGTGCTATTTTGGCCCAACCTGCCAGAAATAGCAATAATAATTGGGAGAGACTTCCTACACCCACTTTGAGAGTATTCTACACACCTTAAGCTCTCAAATAATGGGGAGGGGGACAACCAAGCATGGTTGGTGCGGACATAAGGTTGAGGGGGTGTTTGAGAGTACATGCTCACTCACTTGGGACCATACCATAGCATTATTTTGCTATTGATTGAGTGGGGTACCTCACCTTCCATTTCCCATCCATTCGAACCACAAGGGACAGAGATAAGGGTCTTGGAATAGCTCTCACTAGAAGCAAGGTCGGAACAAGCAAGAGGAAGAGAAATCCAAGGAGAAAAGAATCGTTTTTGAGGTAAGAACTCAACAAATATTCTTTAGCTAGTACTCCGTATTAATTTTGTATGATTTTTAAGAAATCATATGGTGGATTAAACCATGAGTTTTACACGTTTAAAAGTGTATAATATTCTTATAAAGTGGTGTTATTTAACTTAGAAGAGTCGTGGAATCGATAGGAGTCGAAACCGCCGGAAACCGCCACTTAAAGGGAGCTGTTCGTAGCTGCAGACCACGAAAGCCGCCAAGCTTTTGCAAAAGCCGCCCGGCTTTCGTCTGTTGTCCAGATTTTCCACTTCTAATCGGTTTATAACGGGGATTGATCGAAGGGCTTAACAAAGGCAACTATTGCAGCACTTTATAAGGTGAGGATGGATGACTATATTGCTTATAATTTTTGGGTTAATTTCATAAGATACCTAATGTATTTAAATGTGATTTTCATGGATTATTATTGATTAATAATGCCTAAATGAGAATACTATTCCTTACAAGTAAATGAAGTATTATATACAAATTATGAATAAATTGTGCATGATTATGTGATATGAATATGATGTCATGATAGTTGAGTGAACTACGAACATGGTGATAAAATATACTTTTGCTTCATGTAAAGAATTCATGAATGGGTAATAGTGATATTTTTTATATTGAGAATAAATTATATTTGAATTGGAACATCATTGGAATGCACTATATGTCTATGGATTAAGGACTCGGTTGTTCTAAGATTATTCAACTAGTATTGAAATACTAGCCGAGATGTTAATATGAGAAACAATAGATTAATCCAACTGAATTGGGTCATGAGAATTTATACCTTGAGTAGTCTTAATAGATACTTTAAGGTTGAGATGCGTGAGCTCCAAGTATATTAGGATTAGGCCCAAAAGGCTACTCAAACTAAACCAATTGTAGGCATAGAAATTGATTAGGGATTGAATAACGCGACTAATAGCGGGGCTCTAGCACGTCGAAATGGTGACTAAGAGCGAGGCTCTAGCACAACGTAGATTGACTAAGAGCGGGGCTCTAGCCAATGTAGATCAACTAAGAGCGGGGCTATAGTATAATGCAGATTGACTAAGAGCGGGGCTCTAGCCCGAAGTAGACCAACTAAGAGCGGGGCTCTAGTATAATGTAGGGCGACTAAGAGCGAGGCTCTAGCACGATGTAGGGAGACTAAGAGAGAGGCTCTAGCATGATATAGTAATATAATCGAGCGAGGCTCTACGATGGTTATTTTACGTAATAGGGTAATGCCCTATGACGATGAATAAATTTACAAGAGGGTTATGACATTCGTGACCAATAGTCACGGGGCAAAGGGGGATGGACTTTCAAAATGCATATGGGCCTCCGGGCCGACTACTTGACTTTATATGTAAAGTAAGTATATTTTCCAAAGAGGGTAACCAAGGGTTATGACCTATAATATAATATCACTCTATTTGAGGGTCTTGGAAATTGAAACATTGATTATACTTAGTATAGTTGTCATTGTACTTGTCAAATGATTCCAAGTACTGACCTCCCCTTTACGGGGGAGGCCACCTCACAGTTTCAGGTAGAACTTGAAGGTTGCTACCCTCGCCCGTTGCTTTGGGAGAATCAAGGAGAGAAGACGTGGTTCGTGCTTCTTCCGTTCTATTCTAAAAACATTTATATTAATGCTCATGGTTTGAACACTTGTATTAATGTTTCCGCTGCCTAAATGAATATTTTACATTATGATTGTTTATGGATGTCCTATGTGTGTACGGTATTCAAGACGCCTAGTATGGTATGGATGAGTTGGATTGCGGTTGACTATTCGTATTGTACGGCGGGTTGTTGACGTGTCCGGTAGGTCCGGGCATGATAACTCGTGCTATGGGGACCACAAACAGTCAATCCACTAACAATCGCCGGTGGCGGGTGACCTGCCGGATCGATCATCTCGTAGCCATCTTCATCCACCCTTGCAGGTTGAAGCCCTCGGTCGATTGCGGCTAAATCTAGTTGTGCTCTCTCGCCTTCGATGGTTTTCTCTCGTTAGGGTTTTAGGGCTTTATAATTAATAGGCTAGGGGTATATTAGTCCATATCAATTTAATGTATTTAATAATTAAATAGTTATTATGAATTTTAGTATTAATTTGAGGAAAAAACTAATTAGGTCATAGATTGACAAAGTGGAAAAGTTCTACTCATAACTAGGGTAATTATCTCTTTTAATAATGCTTAAAACTTTAATCTGTTGGAGTATGGTTTGGTCGGTGTAGTCACTTAAGTCTAAAGGTATGTTTAACACAACTAGCTAAAAAGGTACTTTTGTGAACTTTTTAGTAACTATTAGATTTTAGTGATTGAAAAGATCTTAAAAAGAAAATGAAAAGGTGATAACTGTTTGGTAAAAAACTGACTGTTTGATTTAGTTTTGTTGATATACAAGCTGTTTAAGATGAATTAATACTAAAAGTCATGGGTTTTCTCACATGCTACTCCCCGTAACATCTCAAAAAAAATCTTTTAAATTTTGAAAAGCTATTAAAAATTGTCATGCCAAACATACAACTAGAAGTTTTTAGTTTTTAAACAGTACAAAAGCTAGAAGACATGGACTTTGGTGGCTGACACAAACAATGGAATAATATACGATAGTATACGAATTGCGATAATGTTTGAACGACAGCTATGGCTGGACTCGGGCCGGTTCGGGCCCGGTTCGGGCCTGGGCCCGGCCGGGCCTCGGGCCAAGAAAGGGAGGCCCGAGCCCGAACCGCCGGTGGCCGGTTCCGGTCCCGGTTCCGGGCCAAACCGGGCCGGGCCGGGCCGGGCCGAACCGGCCCACTTAATTTTTTTTTTTTTTTTGTCTCCTATTTAATCCCCTACCCCTCCCCCTCAACCCCAAACCATCCCAAACCACCTCAAATGGCCCAAAATACATAATCCAACCTAAAACTTAAAAAAAATTCAAAAAAAAAAAATTAAAATTAAAATCCGGCCCGGATAGGGCCCGAACCGGCCGGGTCGGTTCACCAAAACCTGGGCCCGGGCCCGAACCGCCCAGCAGCCGGGCCGGGCCGAACCGAACCGGTGGACCCACCGGGCCCCGGGCCGGGCCGGGCCTAACAGTAACCGGGCCGGGCCGGTTCCGGGCCGGGCCGCCCGGCCCGAGTCCAGCACTAACGACAGCCCTAACCAGCTACCGCTGTCTAAAAAGATTGAGGCTGTTTCTTAGACCCTAGGCAAACAATTGTGAAAGATACGAAGTATATAGCATAGGCAGTAATGCAGTATAGAATTTATGCTACTGAAAAATATACTACTACATAAATTATGATTTGTCTTCTAGAGTTAACACTATAGACAGAGTAAATTATCTCTACGAAGACTAATCTTTAACAGTCTTGGAATAGGGTTACTCTGCTAGCTTCTAAGATATGAACTCCAATCGTGCTTGAATGTTTTCATTCTGTCAGGCTATCTTTAACAAAACGACTAATATGATAACATCAGTTCATCGAGAGAAACCAGATTCTAAGTGCCACAGTTACGGCAGAAGTGATCTTTTGTGCGAGCTCCACATACGTAACAGAATTTGCATCTACACCTGCAATCAGTAAATCACAGGGAGATAAAGAGATGAGCAACACACCACATTTTTCACTATGTCACCTTTTTGTGTTAACAAGTGCAAATTGTACAGAAATTTCATTTCCAAGACCTAAAGTTGACATTTTTAACTAAAAAGCATTATTCTCTATAGATGACTTTAAACATCCTCTATGCATTCAGCTACTACAGCTTGTGTAGTTGTGTAGTTGTGCTTGTTATAGAATTCACCTTTTTATATACTAACTTGCCATGTAAATATCCTATATTCAGTCTCCATGAGTGTAAACCAGAAGAACTTGTATGAGACTATGAGTACATGTATAGTTGGAATATTTTTTTGGTATATACAATCATTTAAGTGCTTTATCAAACACATGTTTTTTCTATATATTTCTTATCAAATATAAAAAATAGGTTTCACTTTATTTCACCCCTGATCTTTAGGTCCAACTCATGTCCTCATATTGCAATGTCATCACATATTCACATGATTAAGATGACAAAGCCATCAAAGCTTAAAGATTAACGGATAAAAAATAAAATGCATACTAAATACAATAAATGAATAAACACAGTGATTCATGGAAAGATTCCAGTTCACCACTGCAGTATAATCCTGGCTTTAAAGTCATTGTTAAGATCAATTAATATAGCAACACATGACTAAAAAAGAAGCAGTCTTTATGAAGGAAAATGCATATTTAGAGTTTTCTTTTAACCTGCAAATCATGAAAGCGCAACCTGCAGATCTCTCAACATAGGCTCTGCATTTAGGACACCTCTTCCATTGTTTGCCTTTAGCTAAATTCATAAGCTGAATATCTTCCCTCTCCCTCTCATCCTTGTGCAACTTCTGAAACTCAGAGCAAGCAATGTTTGAATGCCATGGAACCTTACACCTAGCACAAAACAATCTCCTGCACTCGGGGCACTTAGAATGAACAACATTCTGATTATCGTCGAGCAAAAGAGCGGAACAATCCTTGAAGGGGCAATAGAACTTCTCAGAAGCCGAAAGCAACGCCTCGCATAAGGCGTCCCCCCATCGATTGAAAACTTTTCGTGGCAAAATTGAAGCACAATGGGGAGGCTCCAAACTCCCCTTGCACCCTGGATTGGGACAATTGATTAGCGAGATGTTCTCTTCGAGCTTTGAAGCCACATACTTTGAAATGCAATCGGAACAGTAGGAGTGATTGCACCCCATGACTCTGAAATTTTTGCTCATTTGCTTCTCGTCAAAGCATATTTGGCATATGAATGTCATGGCCGCGACAACATCGTCATCATCATCAAGTTCTATAATTAACGGTTTCGAATTCGTACGGTGGGTTTGGGGCTTTAACCTTGACGACGACGCCTTGGATTTTGCTTTGAAAATATGAAAGTCATCATCCCGGGTGAGGTCGATAATGGATTCTCCTGAAACATCTAGGGTTCTTCCGGTGAGATCGATGACGGGCACAATTTTCGATGTTCCCGTGAACTTGCGCTGACGTTTGGTGGTCCTGGAGAAGTAGTCTTCGACCGAAATGGCTTTCTTCTTTGTTGTGCCATTTGCGTAGCCAGTGGTGGGATTTGGTTCTGAAGCGTCGTCGTCGTCGGCTGCTAGGTTTATGATCATCGAGCTCTGCGGAAGTGGTGAAACTCTGCCGCTAACTCTGTACATCGAAGCGGAGGCAACCCTCAGGTCTCAACCCAACTCAAATACTCAATCACGTGCTGAGAACGCAACCTTGTTTTTGGGCGCCATCCAAAATGTTTTTACACAAGAGACACAAAGTTTTGGGACAGATATACGTAGTACTGGTAGTAGGATGTTTTCTTGGATGGTTTTCAGTAGTCTACACCATGTCAGACCAGACCAGATCAGATCAGATCAGACTCAAACAGATCAGACCAGACCAGACCCGACCTAAATAGATCAGACTAGACCAAACTTGGACAGTTATAAAATACACAGAGACCAGAAGTTTACCAGACTAGACTTAAACAGACCAGACCAGACCAAATCCGACTAGACCAGACCAGCAAATTTCAATCCAAAGAAAACATTCATAGTATTCAAATTTAAAGAAGTCAAATAAGACATTCTACTAATGTTATGTACTCAATAAAGGGTCACAAAATACGTCTATTAATAAAAACAGTCGGATTAGTCAAAAGTTACTCGTTGACAACCTCATGATTCTGATTTTAGCTTACATATCATTTTTGTCTTGTTTTTAAGCAAATCCTGGCTAAGTATTCCATGCTAGCCTTGTAAGATAGTCAGAAGTACGCTAAACCGGATTTACGATGTTGTCAACAAGTCATTAGACTCATTCGCTTGTTTTTTTATATGTAGACGTATCTGTATGACACTTTATTGAATACATGATCTTATGTGATGATTTTGTAATAGTAAAAGACCTGATCTTTTTCTCTAAAATTTATTTATTTAAAATATTTAGAATACCTTAAACATTCATCACGTCAAAGTGTTTTATACTATGTATATTTTTCTGACGATAAAAAAAAAATACTATGTATATTTTTCTCTTATGCAAAGTATTTTTCTTATACTCCGAAATGAAAAACTATTAAAATGTTTTTAATGAGATTGATTTCAGTCATATATCGTATTGAACCAGAACAACCAAATCTGACTTAAAGAGATTAGATCATACCAGACAATTTGGTCTGGTCTATTGGATCAAACCAATTTAGAACAGATAGATCAGACATACTTAAACATAATAGAATAGGCCAGACTAGATAAGATAAAAAAAAATCTTGTCCAAGTGAAACAACCTTATAAGGCATTTTCCATTAATTAAAGTAACGTGTTTTTTCAAATTCTAGCTCTAAAAATTGGATTTGGTTTTTAAACAAATACTTCTAATTAAATCAGGCGTCTTAAAGCTAATGCTGAGTAAACATGTGACGATTTGTTTTAAAGTATTTTTGTAAACAAACAGTGAAAACTTTATTGGAAAACAAATATATACTCAAACAGTGCAAAACAGTGTCAAATAGTGTTGCTACAGTGCCAAACAGGGTCGCTACAATGCCAAACAGTGTCGCTACAGTGTCATTTTCTTGATCTGTGTGAAAAACCAAACGAGACAATAATTTAGGGACAGAGGGAGTAAGTACTATTATCTTTTCTTTTGTTTAAATGAAAGCGTTGTAATGTAACTACTGAATATGTCACATGCTCAGATCTTAGGGTGATATTTAGATAGCTAATTAAACCTAGCTTGGCGCATGGACAACTAACTCTTAATAGCCACAATGCATCTCAATCTATCATAAGCAGTCTAGATATCAATTATTCTTAGCTCCAAAACAATACCTCTCTGAAGGGGTGTTTGGATTTGATTCTCAAAACTGATTCTGCTCCTTCAGGGAGCAGAAGCAGAAGCTGGAGTGTTGATCAGCTTGAATAATACAAAGGAAATTACAAATGATTTCGGAGTAAACATTTGGTAAACTAAGTTTCGGAAATAATACCTAAACACCAATAATTTCGGAGGTTGAAGTTTCATCCTCAAGAACTTGAAGAACAACAGTAAGAACCAAATATAAAAACTATGAATTAAAGTATGGAATGGAATGTGTTTGAATGATGAATTGAGGGCTTTATATAGACTAAAGAATGACATCTTTTAGTCTATTCGAGCCCAACAATAAGGTATGGAAGCAATATTTGATCACACTAGAGGAAGATGAAGTTTTCCCATAAAAAATCCTCTTGCACGTTGGACTATTTTTTGCAGAATTGGACCTACCCGACGCCGGTTTCAGGTCTATCCGGTGCCGGTTCTTCGTTGTGTGCAGTAAGAACTGGAAATTTTGACATACCCGGCGCCGGTTATAAGGCCTACCCGGCGCCGGGTAAGCTACTGGTTTGTGCCATGCGAAAATTAACAAACCGGTGCGGGTTTGGTGCAAATTCTGGTGCCAGTTTTGTCCTGGGATTTTGGGGATGTTCCACTACGAATTTGGACATGATTCCTTCACCAAAGTTGTAGATAATGAAGTCTTCTATCCACCAAAACTTGAATGACGTGATTTTATTCCGCCAATCAAAAGATATGGGTAAAACACTGAGAGGTATACATCCTGAAATCCCACCAGCAACATCTGACTTTGTTGGTTGATTGAGTCTTGCTCCTTTCATATTTTGGTCATGACGTCTTCATAACATTTGTAACTTATTGAGTTAGCATTCACATGAAACTTGAATCGAGTGATTTCGAGTTCTATAGAATAAGTTATATTCAAATTATGGGCAAAACGTCATTCTCTTGGTCCAAAAAGTCGTTTATCGCAATGTTTATGGTCTAGCTCTCATTCTGGAGGTATTTGGCCGAATTCTCTTCTTTTCTTCAACAAATACTTATAAATACTTATATTAAACACAAGTAAATATAACGGCTATCATGGGCACTTCTTTTTTTCATATTAAATGGTAGGTTATTAGCTAAAAATTCATATTCTTATTGGGGGCATGTGCCCCATTGAATCATATGTACATCCGCCCCTAGTAAGTTCATTTCAGTTCAAAAATCTTCATCCTGAAAAAGTAAGTTGCTTTATAGCAATTGTAAGAAACACTATAAAAGACTACCATATTTAGATAGGATCTCTTAACATATTTAGTTGATTTGTAATTATTGATTGATTTGTACATCCCACAAAATCCTCTTGTATTTATTTCCCTTTCCTTTAATACTCTACTCATTCATGTATAAATTAAGACAATGTAATGGTTTCCGACAAGGGATTTTATACACTCTTTTATGGTATCAGACTAGGTCGATCCTGCCTTCTTTTTTCTCAGCCTTTTACTTCCCCTTTCTCCCACAATGGTTGGCGAGACATCCTCCCCAAGACCACAACTTCATCCTGCTTTTGCACTTAGTAACATCAAAACTCAAATTCCTATTACTCTCGATCTCAAAGACGATGAGTATTCCTCTTGGGTGTTCTTATTTGAGCTTCATCTCCAGGCTCATAATTTGATGTTCCTCATTCAAGGTGATGGTGCTCCCAGCACCATTGATGGTCCTACACGGAAACAACTGGACGCGTTAGTTCGTCAATGGATGTTTTCTACCATGTCCAAAGACCTAATGCTTACCGTTCTGAAATCCGGTACTACTGTCAAGGACTTGTGGGAGCGTCTCAAAAGCTTGTTCCAGGACAATAAGGGTACCCGTGCAGCCCTTCTGGAAAGCAAATTTGTCAATCTCAAGACTACTGTGACCGACTCAAGACTCTTGCTGATAAGCTTGAAGACCTGGACTTTCCTATGAATGAAAAACGCCTGGTTATCCAGCTTGTGAATGGACTGCCACCAGAATACGACACAGTTGCTTCTCTCATCTCTCAGTCCATGCCCGAGTTTGAGGCCGCCCGGTCATAGCTTCGCACGGAAGAACAGTGTCGGGCCCAACAACACTCTGCCGCTCCATCCACAGCTATGGCGGCCCAGGAATCTCACGATGCTACTGCAATTGCTGCCTCCTCGCCGGATCGAGCTGCTCCGCCTGTCCGACAACCGGTGCCTCGCTTTTCGACCAGTAGCGGCGGGCGTCGCAGTCGCTCCAGCCATCGCAGACCTTCTGGATCTGCTGCAATCGGACACTCACCTCTAGGTCACACGCTATCTCTGGGTGTTTCTCAGGTTGGGGCGCCTCTGTTACCTGGATATTCGTCGCCCTGGCCTCCGTATTGGGCTGTGCCGCCGTGCCCTTATCCTACAGTGCCGATGCCTCACTGATCCGCAGGTATGCCTTCGTATGGTTCTCGGCTTCCGCAGCGTCAATTGCCTAAAGGGAGTCAAAATTATTTTGTTGACTCTAATAAGGGCTAGGCCTTTATTACTCCTACTAATGAAACTTTGAAGCCCGAAGACATTGCTGAGGCCTATAGCTCATTATCTCTCCTGCAGCCCGATGATTCTTTTTATATGGACACCGGGGCCACATCACATCTCACGGCTAATCCAGGTACCTTGTCTCGTGTTTTTAATAATAGCACTATACGCTCAATATTAGTTGGTAATGGTAGTCACATTCCAGTTACGGCTTGTGGTACTAAAACCTTAACCCTTCCCGATTGCCAACTTTATCTTCATAATACCCTCGTTGCCCCTCATATTATTAAAAATTTGATATTCGTCCGCAAATTTACTACTGATGATAATAATGTCTCTGTTGAATTTGATCCATTTGGTTTTTCTGTGAAGGATCTGACTACGGGGACCCGTATTATGAGATGCAATAGTTCCGGGGAGCTATACCCTATAACTGGCAATGTTGTCACTACCAATTCCACCCCTATTTATCTTGCTGTTGTGTCCCCTGACCTCTGGCACAAGCGGCTCGGTCATCCTGACACGGTTGTTAGGTTCTTGATTTTTTACATACCAAGTCTTTAATTAAATGTAATAAAAATAATAATTTCAAGCTTTGTCATTCTTGTCAAGTCAGTAAACATGTTCGATTACCGTTTTTTCCTACTCGCTCGAATACTACTGCTCCGTTTGATATAATTCATAGTGATTTGTGGACATGTCCACTTACTAGTCATACTAGTTTTCGCTATTATCTTATTTTATTAGATGATTTTACCAACTATCTATGGGTATATCCTCTTAAACTCAAATCTCAGGTTTTTGGAAAATTCCTAGAGTTTAGTAAATTTGTACGCACACAATTTGAAAAAGACATAAAATCTTTTCAGTGTGATT